TATATATATATCAAACATACTCATCATAAGAATGCAAAATAACTGAGGATTATTAAGGAGCATTTTAGTTTGTTTTGGGGGAAAATGGACACAGCGTCACAACTGAGATCCACACCCAATAGCCAGTGCTGGATGCTGAATTTTCTCCAGATAAAGGAGGAAGCATGAAATCTATCCCTCTGATATTCAGATGGCTATTTCCCATGAGTTAACAGCAAAAATGGAAGTTTCTCCATGGAGGTGGAGCTAGCATCCAGACATGGGTTGACCTTTGTCTGGATGGTATCTCCACCTCCTGAGAAAAGGCGTCTCAGGTGAGAACCAATACCCTTTTTGTCGTTTACTTACTAGTTGGTTGGCTGGAAGGAATGGGGAATCTATCTAGGTTCACTGCTATGATACAGCCAATGTGGACACAACCACATTTGGATATGATTATTTTTAGCCTGAGAGAGACTTGTTTTACAACAGATAAATATTTCTCTTGGTGGTTTTCCTTTTTTGGATGGGATAATTTAAAAGAAGAATTAAAGACTTAAATATGTGAATTAGTTGGTGAAAAGTTCAATAAGGAATGACAAGAAAGTTAAAAACTGATGAAGGGGAAGTTTACTTTACAAAAAGATTAATTATTAATTTTTTAATGAAGCTATATTACAAAAATCCTAACTGAATTAATACTCAAACTTTCCATGGGAACACATTTGCTATATATTAAACATTGTTGATAATTGAGTTGATTTACAAAATAAAAAATTGAAGTAACCCGAGTAGATTGAATATTTGGTTGTAACCATGGAAACACAGATGTGCATGCCTGCAATTACAGTTTTAAAAACTAGAGAAAGTTTGTGTTTATCTTCAATTTAACAGTTTGGTTTCAAATAATGATGTATAAGGCAGGAAGAATAGAGTGTAGAAGAGGTTCCTTAGAACAATTGTTAGGGAAGGAAGATAAAGTGATAAAGCAATTTCTTTAAGCTTACTACACATAGTGTTTGATGAATTGGGATCTAAATTGACTCAGTCACTTGAAAACCTATTCAGTCTTTGAAAAAACAAAACAAATGGAAGGCTTGATAAAATGAAAGGTGGAAAATTCTGTCAAACAAATGTCTGGAGATATAAAGTAAGTTAAGGATAAGATGGACATTTTAAAAAGTAAATGGAGAATTGGAGAGAAAAATGAATAGTGTGGCTGCGAACTCAAAAGGAATTCAGTTTGAGATTTAAAGCTATCCTACGGAATTCAGATGAAAATATAGAGGAAAAATTATACCAGCATTGACCAGTTTTTTGGACTGTGAAGATGAGGATACTGAGGCAAGAGAGATTCATAAAGTACATGGGATGTTCTGTGCATTTTGTAAGGCTAAAAATGCAAGGGATCAAGTTTTCTAACAGCATTTCAAAACAAGATTAAAGAGTGATACTGTAGATATAATTATCCTAAAAGATAATTTGTATACTTGGGGACTTCCTCCAGGATGGTATGTTGAGTGGTGGGGAGTGGTTTCTCTTGCAGACAAACAGCTGATTATGCCTCCAAAGCTAGCTATTTGGCGGCTCTCTTCCCAGACTTGAATGGGAGCAACTAGGAATTACCCAAGACAACCCTTGGGTGATTGTCAATCAGAATAGAGTTGGAAGGTACCGTGAAGGTGGTCTTGTCCAATTCCCTGCTCAAGCAGGACACCCTATACCATTTCAGACAGGTGTGTACCTGCTGGGAAGAGGGATCTTGATGATCACAATTTTTGGTAGGACCAATTGGAAGGTTGGGTCTTCCATCTTTTTCTTTCAACTGTAGTTATCTTTAAATACTCTGGTTTTAACTATTCATTTTAAAGTTTTCCTTCTTTTTTGATTTATATTTTTACTAATTGACTGGTAAAAATGATTGAATGTTGACTTATCCTACAACCCTTTGCTGGATTTTAACACAAACATTTTTTCCTGTTTATTTTGGAGTTTTAAATCACTTTCATTTTTGCTGTAGAGAAGTCAACTTTAAAATATTCAGTTAAAACAAAAATGTGCTTAAAGGGAAGATTCACTGTCAGATAGTGAAAGTCATCTGATTTCATTTTTCTAACTCCTTTTTATTGTGGGAAATTTTATCTTAATTTTTCTCTCTGTTCTTTTTTTTTACGGTACATTTACTTCTCTTGTCCTTGAGAGTTAAACTTTATGCTTTTGCCATGAAAGCTACCAAAGAGTTTTGGACTATAATAAAATGTAAATAACAATAAATCAAAGATTTTGAATACTATACATTGCATGTTCTTTACAATGTCTTTAGGAGGTCTTTGAAAAAATGCTTTTTAACTTACAAACTCTAATTGAAATCTTGGATAAAGTTTATCAATGGTTTTAAATCAGCCCCAAGATGATACCCAGATACAAAGAACAATAGCTGAATTAAACTTGCAATCAAATATTAAGTGAGAATATTTGATCCTGGAGAGATCAGATATGAGGATTGTGATGATTTGTGAGAGAGAAGAAACGATTGTAGATTTTCCATGCGTTAAATACAATAATAGGCTGTTAACAAAGGTTAATCCAGGTTACTTATATGTATTATTTATAATTATTTTTGTGTTTTTATAGTTTTAATTGTTGTGATAATTATCCACTGTCCAGGGTCAATTGGATTGAGATGGGCGATTATAGAAATTTATTAAATAAATAAATATGCATGCAGATCAGACTGAAGAAGATGAAGGACAGCAATAAATTCATAGTCTATGTAGCAATGAAATAGCTGGTGTAATATTTTTGGATGCAGAGAAATCTTTGGGAATTTGGATTGGACATTCTGACTAGAGCGCAAAAATGAAATTAATCCAGAAGAAGAATTG